AAAAAAAAAAAAAAGTGAAATGCTGACAGGGATTTAGAGCAACTGGGACTCTCATATACTGTTAGTGGGAAAATAAATTTGCACAATCATTTTGGAAAATTATTTGGGATAATGATCTAAAATGAACAAATGAAATGTAGAATCCAGCAATTTTATCTTTAGTTGTATAGCCAACATAAATGTATGCCTACATTCAATAAAATATGAGTATGCTCATAAGCAGCACTATTTATAATTGTCCAAAACTTGAAACTACGCAAATGTCCGTTAACAACTGAATAAATGGGTAAATACATTGTGATATATTTACAAAATAAACTGCTATACACAGCTATAAGAATTAAGAAACTATAATTGCTTATTTACAATAATGACTCTCACAAACTTTATATTACTCAAAGGAAGCCAAATAAAAAAAGTATACTCTATACAATACAAATTTATTTTAAGGGTAGTTACTGGGCTGCTCTTAATTTTTATAGAGCTATACATTTATGACAATATAGTCTTCTGCATGTTTATTACATATCAATTACAAACTTTAGTAAACAGGTAAAGTAACTCTAAGGAAATCTCAATGGTCATCACTAATTTAAGTTGGTGGCACTTTATGTTTTTTGTTTTGTTTTGTTTTTTGAAATGGAGTCTAACACTGCCACCTGAGCTGCAAAGTCAGCGCCCCAGGTTCAAGCAATTATCCTGCCTCATGCTCCCCAGTAACTGGGACTACAGGCACGTGCCACCATGCCCAGGTAATTTTTGTATTTTTAGTAGAGACGGGGTTTCACCTTGTTGACCAGCGTGGTCTCGATCTTTTGACCTCGTGATCCGCCCGCCTCGGCCTCCCAAAGTGCTGGGATTATAGGTGTGAGCCACCGCGCCCGGCCGCATTTTTTCTTATAACTAGCTCATCGCAGAAAGCAGTAGGGACATAGTGAAGTGTGGGCTCCACCTCGTGGTAACCTAGGTAAATACAAGCATGGGTTCTGTCTCTTCCGGAAGGTCCTAACAGCACCTCTGTAAGAGACAAGAAGTTTCGTTCCGTCCTGGAGACATGAGTGTCTGTATCCATCAACCACTTCATCTTTGGGGAGGAGGGAGAGAGAGAGAGAGAGGGAGGGGGAGAGGGGAGAGGGGAGAGGGGAGAGGGGAGAGGGGAGAGGGGAGAGGGGAGAGGGGAGAGGGGAGAGGAGGGGGGGGAGAGGGCGGAGGGGGGGAGAGGGGGGAGAGGGGGGAGAGGGGGGAGAGGGGAGAGAGAGAGAGAGAGAGAGAGAGAGAGGAGAGGGAGAGAGAGAGAGAGAGAAAGAGAGAGAGGGGGGAGAGAGAGAGAGAGAGAGAGAGAGAGAGAGAGAGAGAGAGAGAGAATGAGAGAGGAGTCTCTTCAGTGGACTATTTTTTTCTCTTGACTTTTAGAAGCACGTGTTTTGTGCTTGGAACAGATCTAACTATTCTCATTATTTTTAGTATGCTTGCTATGCAGAAAATTCTTAAATCCAAATATTAACCTTCCCCGTGGACAGCTGTCTCAGGCATAAGTCTCCTTTTGCATTTACCACTTCAATGTCAAACTCCACACTCCAAAGTCAAATATCATCTTCAACACAAACCTGCTTTCTCAGCTTCAATATCCTCCTACTTAAGCACGTAGGTGGCATGCACACAGGGCACTGCTTTCTTTTCTTTTTCCTTCCAATAGGCCCCATCTTACTCCAGAACTTGTCTCTTTTATGACAATAGTATATTAATTGAGTTTCTTTGTCCTTATAACATGTCCCATCTACAATCCCACCCACTAAACAGTTATTTTTTTCTAAAATACTCATCAACATACTCTTCCTAACTTTTGATGATTATTTAGCCCCTTTTCAATACTTTCTCTGCGTCAGACACTGTGCTCATCGTTTTAGATTGATTGACTCTAAGCTTCACAATTCAGCAAAGAAGAACATGCTTAATTTTAAGGGAAAATATGAGTTCAGAAAAGTAGTGCCAGCTGGACATCCACAAGAGAAATGCATCACAGAGTCAAGGTAAAGGCCCAGGGTGAGCATATTAACAATCTTGGTTTCTGTTTGACAGCACCAGGGTAACTTCTCCTCCACGAGGCAAATTCACACTTTGTTAACTCTGCATCCAAGGAGTTCCAGGACACAGCTCCCACCTTCCTTACAAGCCTGAACTTGCACCATTTCAGTGGAAACCATTTGCTTCTCTCTCTAATCTATTCACTGTTTCTTGAACTACCACATGCACTCCCATCTGTTCCTTTTCACATGTTGTGCTTTACCTGGAATCACACTAACGATATATCACGTATGTTGTCTTAGACTCATGCCAGGACCTCAGTGGTGGAGAAGAGAGGACATTTAGACTAAAAAGGCTGAGGAATACAGACCAAGGTGAGGTAGAATGGATTAAAATTGGGTTCTGATTTGCATGCCAACTGACCCAGGTTTTCAGGAGGATTCTAGTTCAATGTCCACACACAGGGAGGTACCCCTTGTTGTCTAGGACAAGGTAAAAGGCAGGCATCTTCAAACAATCATATCATGGCTCCTGATGGCCTGGCTGGCTCAGTGTAGGATCCAAGGTTTTAGAAGGCAAAGCCACAGCCCTAGGGAGCCATAAATGTCTACACAGGCTGAAGAGCCCTGAGGTGTGCAAGACTGAGTGGGTAAGTTGACACGGATTTTGGAATCTGAGGTGAGGGTGGTGGGAAGGAGAAAGGAGGCCACTTGTTACAATAAGTGGAGTGTGCACCCTCCACTCCATTTCTTCCCAGGATCCAGGAACCTGGCAGAGGAAAAGTAGAATTCTAAACCCCATCCCTGGCTGACCTGACCCTGCATATGTATATATTAGCCACTGTTATTTGGTTCACTGAGTCACCTAGTGCCTGTGAATGAGAAGATCTAGGTAAAGCAGCATCTAATACCATCTTTCCCTCCAGTCCATGTCTCTTATTAATCTTTCGAACCCAAATGAACACAAAATACCACCGTGGTATGCTTTCTAACATGACATCTCAGAGACTTTTCTGCCAGCTTTACATAGCTAACACGTCATCAGTGTAGACTGGGTTTTTAGTACTTATACATGGCACCCACTGCAGACATTTATATTTCAACTTACATTGTACATTAACTTTATTTATCTCTATGACTTGAGATTCAAAACATAAGTATGACGCTAGCCATGCCTTAGAGATCTCACAGACCGATGTGGAGGTCAGACTCAAAAATCCATAATAATAAAATAAGGTGGTGTGAGCTATGGCAGATCAGTGCCCAGGCTGTCATCGGAGACCAAAGAAAATATTTTTTTTTGTAGTGGGGTGGAAATTGTTTCTTCAGAAAAAATTTCCAAATGTTCAAGAATAGAATTAACCAGTCAAAGAGAATCCTCACATTTACTTTCCAGAAGGTTTACAGAAAATGTTAACATTTGTTACCATGGTAGATGCTTCTAGCATTTGACTTTCCTCTCCTTTTGGGGTACACAGATGATCAAAAATTCCAGCCCCTTTGCACTTTGCCAGGGACACATAACTAGTTCTAACCAGCGGACAGTGATCTGAAGGATCACTTCCAGGCTGAGGCAGTGAAAGCCCTCGCTTAACGTTTAGTCTCTTTACTTCTCTTTTAGGATATATATGGAGATGGGAGATTATGAAGTCACAAAGCAAAGAAGGCTGCTTAGATGAGTGACCATGTGGAAGACAAAAGACTTGAAGATGACCTTGAGCTACACTAATATTGCATGAGCAAGAATCATTCCTGTGTTAATCGACTGAGATTTATTGCTGAGTGCTACCATGGCATAAATTTGCTCAGTCCTGACTAATCCGGGTATTATCCTCAGTAATGTGCAGTTCTCTTAGCTTATCTCTTTGTAATTCATACTCATGTGGTACAGAATAAAGAACACATCCGTACGTTGTTATCAAAGGAGCATCTAAGGAGCAAAACCAGTGTGTTCACTCTGGCCTCCTTCTGAATGAATGGCCAGCAGGAAGGTGACACATGATGATTAGCAGGAGCAATGATCGTTCTTGAAGAGGGAGACCTTAATAAGCAAAGGGAAGGCAGGTGCACAGTTGTTTTTATGCAGTAAATCCAAAAGGCAGTGGCAGATAAAGGAGGAGCTCAGAGATGAGGGATCAGAGGAAAGATGCCACCTCTGATATCTGAAAGGGAGCATCAATGCCATGTCATTGCAGTTCATTTCCTTAGAATTTCTGCCCAATATTTCCCATCAAATTATATGGAAATGGGCAGGTGCAGTGGCACATGCCTGCAGTCTCAGCTACTCAGGAGACTGAGGCAGGAGGATCATTTAAGGTTAGGAATTAGAGAGTGTAGTGAGCTATGACCACACCTCTGAATAGCCACTGCTGTCCAGACTGGGCAACATAGTGAGACTCTGTCTTTAAAAGAAAAAAATAGTAATTCTCTGAAAATGATAAAAACAAAAATACTGTCAGCAGGTGAATCAACACAAACCAAGTATATTAGCATGCCTATAATCTTACCCATCTCCCCAGTTTACCAACCATTTAAACGGCAGAAATTCTTTCTTCAAGTAAAACATTACACAGAACCAACATTCTGTGTTTGTACAAACAAAAGTGGAGCTGCTCTGGTTGAAGTAGAGGAAGGAGAGCCAGACCTCTGCTTGCTCCACTTCCTGTTGCCCTCACTCCTCAAATGATCTCTCCAAGCTCTAGAAGAGTCAGTATCACTGCAAACCATGGCACACTTTATCAAACACTCTGGCCGGGCGTGGTGGTTCATGCCTATAATCCAAGCCCTTTGGAGGCCAAGGCAGGCGGATCACCTGAGGTCGGGAGTTCAAGACCAGCCTGACCAACATGGTGAAACCCCATCTTAAAAATAAATAAATAAAAATATCAAACACTCACCATGTATCTTTCCACCTTTACCATATGCCGTATGTGCTACTAAAGGATTGTCATTCCACATTGAAGTTCCTGTAACCTGTTTTTTTTTTATACAAAAGTTTATTCTTAAATGTACAACAGCTCCAAGACAACACTTAATTCCAGCTATAGGTGGCAAAAGATGCTATGGCAGGGAATACAGATGTTTAAATATGGATGAAATAAAGGGTCACCATCTCCTCAGGGACAAGAAACAACTTACTTTTTGCCAGATTTCTTAATTCCACCTGTGGCCAGGGGTCCCTTCCCCACGGCCTTTGCTTTTAGCTCTTCGAGTTTCTTCTGCTCTTCTTTTTGTTTCTGCTTGAAAGCCTTATCTTCCTCGTCCATTTCCTTGCCCTGCTTCTCAGGCTGTTTCAGGGGCTTCTTCTTGCCACCTTCCCGCCCTGTAACCTGTTTTTCAGAATTCCTGGGTTTATTTCTTATGTGCTTATGAAAAGGCACAGTTTTGTTGTTGGGCAGCCTTTGTGATAGATCAAAGACTGACGTGATGCTATGTGATTTCCAGGGCTAGGTGTACACCTTCCTTGTTGCCTTGAGAAGCTTGCTCTTGGAACCTAACCACCACGCTATCAGGAGGTCCTGGCCACAGGGAGGGGCCTTATATAGGAGTTTTGGCTGCCAATGCCATGTTCTGCCAACAGCCAATATCAACTTTACATCTGGGGTAAGGAAGCTTCAAGATGAATCCAGCTACAGCCAGCATCCAACGGCAAACACACCTTGAACAAGAACTGCCCAATCAACTTTTCAGAACTGCGAGACATAATACTAAAATGATAGATATTGTTTGGATGAGACTTTTATGCAGCAGTAACTTCCAGACATTAAAAACATTTACTGAGAATCTGCAATGAGCAAGGCAGTTTTAGGTATCAGAGATTCAGCAGTGAACAAAGAAAATCTCACAAAGGTAACATTCCAGTACAGCAGATAAACAAACCGCCACTTATTCTCTTCCATCGCTCTTAGTCTTCTGTTTGTTCTTTAACGTATGGTTAGAAGTTTACATCTGGACTAGATGTAGATTTTGGAATCCTCCTAGAGTTTCTTAGTTGTAAGTTCTCTTGGCTAGAAGAGGTAATTACAAAGAATCTGTTTTTTTTTAAAAAATAGCACTTTATTCAAATATGATTGACGTAAAAATTGTACATATTTAATATACACAACTCTGAGTTTGAAGTACACAGGTATGAAGCTATCACAACTATGTATCTAACCCCTCTCAAAGTTTTCTCCCAGCTCTTTTGTTATTACTTGTAGGTGTAATTACAGTGCATGTGTGTGACAACACTTAACACAAGATCTACAATTTTTTACCAATTTTTAAGTATACAATATAGTATTGATAACTATAGACCTTGTGCTGTACAGTAGATCTACAGAACTTATTTGTCTTGCATAACTCATACTGCATACCCCTTGACCATTGCCTCCCCGTGTCTTCTCCCCATAGGTCCTAGCAAACAGCATTCTACTCTTGGCTTTGGTGAGTTTGGCTTTTTTAAAGTTTTATTGTTTTTAATTAACATAATACTATTTATCTGGCACAGTGTAATGTTTTTGATACATACATTGTGTAATAATCAAATCTAGCACACCTATCACCTCCAATACTTCTTATTTTTCTGAAGATGGGCAAGTGCAGTAGAAAGCACATTCAGAATCCTCTCACTTGGCTATTTTGAGGTATACGATGCATTATTGTTGAGTACAGTCATCCTACTGTGCAATAGAATTGTAGAGCTAGTTCCTCCTATCTCACTTTAACTCTATATTCATTGACCAATCTCTCCCTATCCATCTACCCACTACCCTCCCAGCCTCCGATAACCATTATTCTATTGTCTACTTCTGTGAAATCAACTCTTTTAGATTCCACACACGAGTGAGATTAGTGGCATTTGCCCCTCTGTTATTAGCTTATTTCACTTGACAGAATGTACTCTAGGTTAATCCGTGTTGTCACAAATGACAAGAGTTTCTTCTTTTTATGATGGGATAGTATTCCACTGTGTACTTTAAATCCATTAGTTCATTGATAGACACTTAAGTTGATTCCATGTCTTGGCTACTGTGAACAGTGCTGCAATAAACATAGGAGAGTAGCTATGTCTTCATCACACAGATTTTATTTCCTTTGAATATATACATGGTAGTGAGAATAGTGTTAACTTATTTTTAGATTCCACATATAAGTGAGATCCTAAAATGCCTTTCTGTGCTGGGCTTATTTCACTTAGCATATGTCCTTTGGGTTCATTCATGTTGTTACAAATCACCAAATTTCCTTTTTTAAAGGCTGAATACTATCACACTGTATGAATACACCACGATTTCTTTTTCCATTTGTTCACGGGTGGACATTTCGGTTGTTTCCCTATCTTGGCTGTTGTGAATAATGTGCAATGGACAGGGCAGTACAGATCTCTATGAGGTGCTGGTTTCCTTTCTTTAGAAACATACCCCAAAATGGGATGCTGGATCATATGGTAGTTCTATTTTTAATTTTTTTTTTAAGAAATCTCCATACTATTTTCCATAATGGTTGTACCAGTTTACACTATGAACTTTATTAAGGAATACCACATGATGTTATGAGAGAAATACATTAAAGTGATTATTACAGAGAAACAGATTAACAGATCCATTATCTCAGAGAGTTACTCCTTTTTCTCCCTGTAGCAAGCACAGTTATAATCTACAAATTTAACAAAAGTTCTGATTATTATACAGGAACATTTACTATAATCTCCACCTTCAAAACTCAATCTTTGCACTTGTTCATTGTCTGTATCGGCTGCTTTGCATTCTTTGACCTAATCTCTCAATTTCCTCCTCTATCCCTCTCCCAATAATCATTGTTTTACTCTGTCTCTGTATATTTCAACTGTTTAAATTTTTAGATTCCACATATAAATGAGGTCATGAAATGTTTTTCTTTCTGTGTCTGACTTATTTTGCGTAGAACAGTATCACCCAGATCATCCATGTTGTGGCAAATGGCAGAATCTCTCCCATTTTTAAGGCTGAATATATTCAATCCTGTGTGTGTGTGTGTGTGTGTGTGTGTGTGTGTGTGTATTTGTGCCGGTTTTTTATCCATTAGTCAATTGACAGCCACCCAGGTTGTTGACACAGCGTGGATATTGTGAATAATGCCGCATTGAACATGGGAGTGAAGACATCTTTATGAGGTGGTGATTTCAGTACCATTGGGTATATGCCCAGAAGAGGAACTGCTGGATCATATTGTAATCATATTTTTAATTTATTTAGGTACCTGTATACTGTTTTCCATGACAGCTGTATCAATCTACATTCCCATCAATAATGTATAGTTTATCTCTGGAAGAAAATCTGTTATAATAACATAAGGAATTCATTAGATTAAATAGAAAAAAATACAAGAAGTATAAGATACTGCATTTTTGGCCAGGCACGGTGGCTCACGCCTGTAATTCCAACACTTTGGGAGGCCGAGGTGGGTGGATCACGAGGTCAAGAGATTGAGACCATCCTGGCCATGGTGAAACCCCGTCTCTACTAAAAATACAAAAATTAGCCGGGTTTGGTGGCACACGCCTGTGGTCCCAGCTACTCGGGAGGCTGAGGCAGAAGAATTGCTTGAACCCAGGCAGAGGCTGCAGTGAGCCAAGATTGCGCCACTGCACTCCAGCCTGGTGACAGAGTAAGACTCCTTCTCAAAAAAAAAAAAAAAAAAGATACTGCATTTTGTAAAGATTAAATGTATTTGACTATATTTTGTTAAATCAACTGTGTCAGAAATTATTGCTCCAAATCATACGGAAGGAAATGTGACTTGGTTAGCAATACAGATCTATCTTAACAAGATATTTAAAAATGTAGGCATGGAAAAGAGAAAAGTGGTTGTTTGGCTTTTATATTCTTTTCACTGAAATAGTAGCAGTGGGGTGGAACTGGACAGTGATGGGATACCATGGGGAAACTTGCTCATAAGCCATTAAGAATTCCACTCTATCACTTTCTGCTCCTTTATCATTTCATTGGTCTCTGAAACCCACTTTTCCTTCCCTGTCTTACCTCCATTATGTAAGAGAAGGCCTGGCTGGGGAAAGCCAAAGCTGGTGATTTTCAGAACTTCACTGACGTGAAGTGAAATCATGTCCATTGGAACAGAACAGAGGCCTCGGAAGTAATGTCACTCATCTACAACCATCTGATCACTGATAAATCTGACTAAAACAAGCAATGGGAAAAGGATTCCCTACTTAATAAATGGCACTGGGAAAACTTGCTAGCCATGTGCAGAACGCTAAAACTAAATCCCTTCCTTACGCCTTATACAAAAAATTAACTCCAGATTGATTAAAGATTTAAACATAAGACCTAACACTATAAAAACCCTAGAAGAAAACCTAGGCAATACCATTCAGGACATAAGCATAGGCAATGACTTTATAACTAAAACACCAAAAGCAATTGCAACCAAAGCCGAAATAGACAAATGGCATCTAATTAAACTTAAGAGCTTCTGCACACCAAAAGAAACCATCATTAGGGTGAACCAGCAACCAACAGAATGGGAAAAAGTATTTGCAGTCTACCCATCTGACAAAGGACTAATATCTAGAATCTACAAAGAATCTAAACAAATTTACAAGAAAAAAAACAACCCCATCAAAAAGGAGGTGAAAGATATGAGTAGACGCTTTTCAAAAGAGGACATTTATGCGGCCAACAAACATGAAAAATGCTCATCATCACTGGTCATTAGAGAAATGGAAATCAAAACCACATTGAGATCTCATGTCAGTTAGAATGGCAATCATTAAAAAATCTGGAGATAACAGATGGTGGAGAGGATGTAGAGAAATAGAAAACTTTTACACTGCTGGTGGGGGTGTAAATTAGTTCAACTGTTGTGGAAGACAGTGTAGCGATTCCTCAAGGACCTAGAACTAGAAATACCATTTGACCCAGCAATCATATTACTGGTATATACCCAAAGGAGTATAAATTGGTGTGTTATAAAGACACATGCACACGTATGTTTATTGCAGCACTGTTTACAATAGCAAAGACCTAAATGCTCATCAATGATAGACTGGATAAAGAAAATGTGGCACATATACACCATGGAATACTATGCAGTCATAAAAAAATGAGTTCATGTCCTTTGCAGGGACATGTATGAAGCTGGAAACCATCATTCTCAGCAAACTGACACAAGGATAGGAAACCAAACACTGCATATTCTCACTCATAAGTGGGTGGTGAACAATGAGAATACATGGACACAGGGAGGGGAACATCACACTCCAGGGTCTGTTGAGGTGGTTAGGGGAGGGTTAGCAGGGGATGGGGAGATTGGGGAGGGATAACATTAGGAGAAATACCTAATGTAGATGACGGGGAGGGGATGGATGTAGCAAACCACCATGGCATGTGTAAACCTATGTAAAAATCCTGCATAATCAGCACATGTACCCCAGAACTTAAACTATATATATAAAAAAGATATGGGGCCTTTTTGAAAATGACTAAGTTACAAGAGCTCTGCCCTCATGAATGTGATTGCCATTATAAAAGAAGCTCCAGAGAAAAATATCACCAGCTCACTCTATCAACTTGGTTAAAGATAAGCATAAGATAATTTTGGCATTTATACCCTTAAAATTAATATACTCAAAATCATGTTTTACTAGATATGTTTACATTAGGAATATTTTGTCTCAAAATACAATTGAGTAAATCTAAATGACTTTTCTGAGAGTAATGTATTAGAAGCCTATTTTTATCCAAAACTGTGTGAGTACTATAATTTTAAGAGAGAAAAGCCTTAGAATGTCAATATATTAGCTTTCTTTTCCTATGCTAAGCTTCAGTTTGATTATTTCTGAATTTGAAAAGGTACATTTAAATTTTTCTTTTTGGATATCATTATAACCATCTCAAAATATAATTAATTCCCATAGACTTAGAGAAAAAAGTTGGCAGGCCTCTATTTTTCATAAACATAAATATTCTGTTTGCTTACCAACAGAGGAATATAACGCAAGAAACACAGATGCTGAATTAAGGAGATGGAATGATACAGGAAATGAGATAACTGCCAATCAGAAAAGGAAACAACAAATGCCAGATGTAGTTCAATAAAACAGCCACTCAGGAGTGTTCGTATGAGGCTACTCTGTTCTTCTGAACAATCAACTTCCACAAAAAACATGTTCTGTTGGCATGTGTTGTTCTCAGTCATCTCTTGATCAATTTGTGCTTGGATTTTTAAGTGACTTGAATGTGCTTTTAAGTTGTTCTGTGTTTGACTCTTAAATACATTCACATATTGAACAATTAGAATTCCTGGTGATAACATACTTTTAGTTGATCTGTGATTTTGTTGTTGTTTCTTTCTTTTTTTAAAAAAAAAAGATGGGGTTTCACCATGATGGCCAGGCTGGTCTTGAACTCCTGACCTCAGGTGATCCACCCACCTCGGCCTCCCAAAGTGCTAGGATTACAGGCATGAGCCACCATGCCCAGCTGATCTGTGTATTAACTTACTTAACATATGTAGTTAAAATATATATCAGACATTAATTTGGTGAGCTTTGAAATGGTAAAAGGAGTTTTACCATCACACAAATTCATGGCCCATTTGCACACAAAAATTGTCAAATATGTGATATTAAACAGAAAAAAAATATGTATTTGTTGACCTAAGCATACTGAGAGTATTGCACATGTGAAGGAAGTTGATATAGTTTGGCTCTGTGTCCCTACCCAAATCTTACCATGTAGCTCCCATAATTCCCATGTGGTGTGGGAGGGACCAGTGGGAGATAACTGAATCATGGGGGTGTGTCTTTCCCATGCTGTTTTTGTGATAGTGTCAGGAGATCTGATGGTTTTTAAAAATGGGAGTTTCCCTACACAAACTGTCTTTGCCTGTTGCCATCCATGTAAGATGTGACTTGCTCCTCCTTGCATTCTACCCTGATTGTGAGGTCTCCTCAGCTACATGGAACTGTAAATCCATGAAACTTCTTTCTTTTGTTAAAAAAAGAAAGAGAAACTTTAATATATAAATTCACAAACAGTATAGACAAACATGTTTGAAAAAGATACAGCATGCTAATCTTAAAAGAATGCTAGAGTGGCTCTGTTAATAAAAGAGCAGATTTCAGAGCAAAGAATATTACTATAGATAAAAGAAAGAAAATGATACAATTATCTCAATCGATGCAGAAAGGCATTTGGCAAAATTTAACATCAATTCCTGCAAACAGTATTAGAAAACACCTTCCTGAATCTAATCAAGGACATATACAAATAAAAGTGGCAGTTAACAGCAGCTGACATTATTCCTAATAGTTGAAGAATGAATGCATTTCTTTCCCCTATGGTTAAAAAAAAATGGATGCCTCTGTTCTATGCAGTAGTACTGGGGTTTCTAGCCAGTGCAATAAGAAAAGCAGAAGAAATAAAACACATGGAAAATGGCAGGAAAAAGTAAAACTGTCTTTATTTGAAGATTATGTCATTGTTTACATAGAAAATCCCAAGGAATTTACAAACATGCTGCCTGGCTGAATGTTAAAGGCGAGCCTGACACATATTCAGACGCCCTTGGCAAAAACTGGGAGACTCTGCTTCCCACTGTTTAAGAAAATCTCTCCAATAGTTTGCTGACCACTAAGTGAACTGATCCAGAACTTCATTACAACAAAAAATACAGACTTTATAGATTTAGCTCAGAAATATTACTCAAACAATGCTAAATAATCACAATAACAAAACCTGGGGCAAGGGGCAAATCTGATTTCCAGAGCTGCCACATAATTTAAGGTGTCCAGTTTTCATCAAATACATATGATGAATCATGCAAAGAAATAAGAATATATGGCCCCAAGGGGGAAAAGCAGTCAGTAGAGAACTGTTCTTGAGGAAATTGGACTGATTAGACAAAGTCTAAGTCAGCTATTCTAAATGAGTTACGTCAAAGAGTTAAAATAAACCATGTCAGGAGAACTATAGGAAAGTATGAGGGCAGTGTCTCACAAAATAGTAAATACTGGATCAGGAATAATAATTAATCAGTACTAGGCTTAATACCTGGGTGATGAAATAATCTGTACAACAACCCCCCCATGAAACAAGTTTACCTATGTGGCAAACCTGTACATGTACCCCCGAACTTAAAGTTTAAAGAAACAGAATGTTTTCTTAAAAAAGAACCAAATAGAAAATATGGAGTGAACAACCACAGTAACTGAAATGAAAAATTCACTAGATGGGCTAAACAGCAGAGTTGAACAGTCAGAAAAAGAATTAGGAAACTTCAAGTTAGATCAATTGAGATTATATAATTAGAGTAACAGAAATAAAAAGGTAATGGTTAAAAACTTCCAAAATTTGATTTTTTTAGAAATATCAAAAGCTCAACAAATTTCAGAGAGGATAAACTCAAAGATACCTCATGATAAAAAATTTGATAGACCTAACATCATACAAAGTATGTTCTCCAATCACAATGAAATAAAATTTAAAAAAAAATGACAGAAGAAAAGCAGAGAAATTCACAGATATGTAGAAATTAAACAACACACAACTCAAAGGACAGTAGGTCAAACAAGAAATAATAAAGGAAATTAGAAAATGTCTAGAGATGAAGAAAAAGAAAACAACAAAACTTACGAGATGCATCTGTAAGTGCATAGCATGAAATAGTGCTTAGCATGAAATACACAGCTGTAAGCACCTATATGAGGAATAAATTACCAAAATTTGACTACAAGGAAGTAAAAAAGTCCTTACACCTTATACAAACATTAACTCCAGATGGATTAAAGATTTAAACCTGACCGGGCACAGTGGATCATGCCTATAATCCCAGCACTTTGGGAGGCCGAGGCGGGTGGATCAGGAGGTCAAGAGATTGAGACCATCCTGGTCAGCATGGTGAAACCCCGTCTCTACTAAAAATACAAAAATTAGCTGGGCATGGTGGTGTGCACCTGTAGTCCCAGCTACTCGGGAGGCTGAGACAGGAGAATTGCTTGAACCCAGGAGGCGGAGGTTGTGGTGAGCCAAGATCGCACCATTGCATTCCAGTCTGGGTAACAAGTGCATAGGCATGGGCAAGGACTTCATGACTAAAACACCAAAAGCAATGGCAACAAAAGCCAAAATAGACAAATAGGATTCGTAGGGAATCCATGAGCCCCACACAGTGGGGGCCAGAATGTAGGAACCCATGAGCCCCATGTTAGGCACCAGAATGTAGACAGCCTGCCCTATATCACCCATGGGTATCCCGAGTTTGGTGGTGACAAAGGAATGAGAAAAAGACAGATTAAGAGAGACAGTGGGACCAGGGTGCCATCCCCAAGCTCTGATCATCCACTCTATTTATTGGGGTTACAATTACTTTGATCTACAGGGTAGAGGTGAAGCGATGGTAGGAGAGGGTGATGGTGGGGTGAATCAGTGAGCCAGAACTGGTGTATCATTCTAAAGACAGATAACAGTGGCAGTTTGAGAGTTTCACAAAACAAGAACATGTGGTTATCTTTAACTTATTACCTATGTGCAGCTGATGGAACTCGGGCCTTACAAGGAACCTACAAGTCTGGCTACGTCATAGTGCTACAAAGGGGTTTTATGTCCTTGAGCACAATGTTTATGGTAACAGAGCCTACGTCACCCTGTACCAGAACATGAGGCATAGAGAGGCCTTCCTCCCCAGAGGCCTTCTGTGGCCTTCTGCAGTTGGTTGCCCCCTATTTACATGTTACTCATAACCAATTTATGTAGGCACTCTGTAAGCCCTTTCTCCTTTGCTGCTTTTCCCAACAGGATCCAATTAAGTTTAAGAGCTTCTGCATAGCAAAAGAAACAATCATTAGAGTGAACTGGCAACCAAGAGAATGAGAAAAAAATATTTGCAATCCACGCATCTGACAAAGAGCTAATATCCAGAATCTACAAAGAATCTAAACAAATATACAAGAAAAAAAAAAAACCTCATCATATCCTTTGCCCAAAGGATATGAACACATTTCAAAAGAAGACATTTATGCAGCCAACAAACATATGAAAAAAAGCTAATCATCACTGATAATTAGAGAAATGCAAATCAAAACCACATTGAGATACTATCTCATGCCAGTTAGAATGGTGATCATTAAAAAAATCAGGAGACAACAGATGTTGGAGAGGATGTGGAGAAATAGGAACGCTTTTACACTGTTGGTGGAAGAGTAAATTAATTCAACCATTGCAAAAGACAGTGTGGCGATTCCTCAAGAACCTAAAACTAGAAATACCATTTGACCCAGCAATCCCATTACTGGGTATATACCAAAAGGATTATAAGTCCTTCTATTATAAAGACACATGCACATGTATGTTTATTGCAGCACTGTTTACAATAGCAAAGACTTGGAACCAATCCAAATGCCCATCAAGGATAGACTGGATAAAGAAAATGTAACACATATACACCATGGAATACTATGTAGCCATTTAAAAAAAGTTCATGTCCTTTGCAGGGACATGGATGATGCTGAAAGCCATCATTCTCAGCAAACTGACTCAAGAGCAGAAAACCAAACACTGCATGTTCTCACTCATAAGTGGGTGTTGAACAATGAGAACAGATGGAAACAGGGAGGGGAACATCACACACCAGGGCCTGTCAAGGGGTGGGGGATAGGGGAGTAATTAGCAGGGGGTGGGGGATTGGGGAGGGATAACATTAGGAGAAATACCTAATGTAGGTAGTGGGGAGACGGATGCAGCAAACCATCATGGCATGTGTTTACCTATATAACAAACCTGTACATTCTACACATGTACTGCCTGGTGTATTAGTTCATTTTCACACTGCTATGAAGAACTACCTGAGACTGGGTAATTTATAAAGAAAAGAGGTTTAATTGACTCACAGTTCCACATGGCCTGGGGAGGCCATGGGAAACTTAAGCAAAGAGGAAGCAAGGGACGTCTTACATGGTGGCAAGAGAGAAAGAGAATGATGAGAAAAGTGCTACACTTTTAAACTATCAGATCTCATGAGAACTCACTCACGATCATAAGAACAGCATGGGGGAAATCTGCTGCCATGATCTAATCCCCTTTCACCAGGTCCCTCCCCTGACACATGGGAAGAGGGTCCCCTGGCCCAAGGCAGGTCCAGAAATGCTAAGAGCCTAGGCCTAGACTCAGGGACCCCCAAGGGCCTGCCTTTTGCTCTGCCGCCTTGTGGCCAGGCTGGCACCTAAGGTGCAAGATGAAGTTCCCTTTAATTTTCCCTCTGCTTTTCTCAAACATCAGGGGTCTTTTGCCATAGCCATCACAGCTGCAAATATGCTGGGTTACCCCTGAAGCCAGCATGTCTAGAGCCCAAGGCCCATAGTTTACTACCTAGGTATCACTACTGGTTATTCCGGACCCTAGGGCTCTTAGGAGATAAATCCTGCCAGGATGGGGCCTTTCCTTCAAGGCAGCAGGTTCCCTTTTGGCCCAGGGTGTGTCTAGGAATATAGTCTTGGAGTTAGGGCCTGGATTGGGAGCCTCACAACTCTACCCAATGCTGTATCCTACTGTGTAAAATTCTGCCCCATGATACTTGTTAGAACTAACAGATAAATTAAACAAGGTAGCAAGATTTAAAAAACTACCACATAAAAATCAATTGCCAGGATGGATATAGTAGGTGATGCCCTCTTCCTCGGGCAGGCCTTTGTCACAGTCCTCCTCCTCAGAGGTGTTATTCATGTAGTTGGAGCTAGAGTCCCCATCAGGGCTGTGGTAGTGGCACTCCTGCTCCTCGGGCATGGGGATCTCTGGCCACAGGGCAGCCAGCTCCTGGCCCTCGGGCACACAGCCTTCCTAGGGCAGCTCCACGTCCTCGCTCCTGGCCACGGGAGACAGGGACTGGCCTCACCCTGTGGTCCAACATGCTGCTCCCCATGGTCTCACACTTCTGGTGGGCCATGGCAGGCACTCACGCAGCCATCATCACCCAGAGGCAGCCACTGTGGGAGAAACATTGGGAAGGACAGAGTCAAAACCTCACAAAGTCTGGTCACACGTGGGGTCACTCACCCCCATGGCGCCTCCCATCACATTCTCCCACAGTAATGTGAAAAATGACAGCTGAAGATTTTCACTGCAGCATTCTTTTAAAAAGCTGGAAACGACCCAAGTACCCATAAATGAAAGAATGGTTAAATAAATGATGGCAGAGTTTGCATGCTGTAAGAGTCGAATAAGTATGGACTAAGTAAGGAAAGGTATGGGTGCCCCTCCAATTGGTTAGGGACTCTTACCAACAGCCTCCTAATTTTCCAGCAATTCCCAATATGCCACTGTAATCAAGGCTTCAGCCTACATCAGTGTAGACTACAGCCTTGAGAAATAAGGGAAGGCTTCCACATCTGTGTAGATGAAAGCCTTGTGAATCTACTTTTTTCAGCTAGCATAAGTCAGTAACAGCTAAATTTACTGAGCTATGTCATTTATGCAATGTTATATTATAGGTGATAATTTAGTACTACGTCCCAATCACTGTTCTACATGTTTTCTATGTATTAACTCATTTAACCTTCCTAATAATCCTGGGAGGTACTATTATAATCATAATAATCCCCATTTTATTTATAAGGAAACAAACCTAGAGAGATTATGTAATTTGCACAAGGTCACACAAGGATGGATGGTTAGTAAGCCACAGAGTGAGGATACAAATCCAGAATCTGCAGGTTTAAGCATTATACTATACCACCTTCCAGGTTCTTAAAGTTTATTCATACCTGTGTCAGGTAGGACTTGAACTCACAAATTGAGAATAAGGGAGAAGAGGGCTAGTTCTTGTCCTGAAATCTTTTCCCTCTATAATTCTGGTAATCTTTGCTCTTCCTGATCTTATAGGCCAGCTTTATGTAGTTGAAGCCATTTCCAAAGCCCAAGAAATGTCAGAGTTTTCTCTAATGTCATCACAGGACTCAATTCTGAGGCTACAGATAAAATATTGAAGAAGGCTGAATTTCATTTCTTTGCAGCCATCTCCTCTCATCCATTCATTCATCCATTCAGGAAACACATGTTACATTTGTACCACATTCTTGGCAGAGTTGAAGTCATTCTACCACTTTTCCAGAACTCAAAATATAGTGATACAGCTCAAAATGATAGCAAAAAATGCACAGAATAAAGCGTTGGAGGTAGAAGTGATGCTATAATAGAGCAAAGCAGCTTTGCGCAGTGGCAGTATCATAGCCAATGAGGTTTAGCCGAGGCGCGATTATTGCTAATTGAAAACTTTTCTCAATACCCCACCATGGCGACTTGAAATATAGTCGGCGTTGGCAATTTTTGGCAGTCTCTATGGAGACTGAATCATAAAAAAAAGGGGGGGGGGCTTGCTTCTGCAGCACATATACTAAAATTGAAATAGAGCAAAGCAAAGAGCAGTTTATTAATTAGGGTGTCAGATTCACTAGAGAGAAGACCAGACCTGGGCCATCTCCATTCCCAAATCACCTGCACCTCAAAAACTGATAAACACTTGATGAGCCAGGTAGAACCAAACTGGGAAATTAGAGAAGACTCCCACAAAGATTTAGCATCTCAGCTGAGTCTCAAATAATCACCAGAATTTTAATTTGTGGACATGAGAGAAAGGACAATCCAGGTTGAAGAAACAGGAAGTTAGGAAAATGAAAGAAACTTTGCAAGAAACAGTGAATTGACTGTTATTTTGATTAGGAAACGATGACTACAGAATCAATTTGCAAATTACTACCTACGGCATTTAACCTTTGCTCTTCCTTGGAGCATGTCTGATACTACGGTGGGTGTAAATCAAGTTCTCTTGCCACAGCCCATGATACACAAAAAGCCACCTTCTTCCCAAAAGTATTCCCACAGTTTTCCAGCTGCCCAGGCCTGCTAGTAAGGTCCTAAAACTTTCTCATTCCACACCCCAGTTCCCTCCTTTAACAGGCCTCTGCCTACACTATCGCCCTACTCATCTGGAGGTTCACTTTAGGGTCACAAACCGATCCAGCAGAACAGGCTGATAAAGGATACCCCACATACATCTGTGGCTCACTGGTTGAGGAGGTGGCAGGGCGTCAGGGTGTACTGCGAAAATCAATACTAGCCAGCTGCCTCTTAAACTGTTGCGCTTCCCTTTCCAGGAAAAACTGCTTATTTGTGGGAGCTGCTGGAGAAGCTCAAATCTAAAGGAGCAACTAATAGAATATTAGGATAAACGTAACAGAAGCGATTTCTTGGAAAGAAACGTTTGAATACCAACTGTTTAGTATTATGCCAACTTCCCCAAAGAGCAAATCCTAGAGGTGCTTATTAAAACCGCAGACTCGTAGGCCCTCCCCAAAGACCTTCTGAATCACCATTTCCAGGGTAGAGCCCTGAAACTCAACAAATTTTAGGCATTTCAGGTGATTCTTAACAAGGAAGCAGCGCGAACCCACAGGACAATGATATATTTTTTCAGCAAAGAAGCTCACGCTCGTTTTCTGATCACAGCAGCCGCTGGCGGTGGGAAGCTACCTTTCCGGCCTGTGCTGTGTACAGCCGGACAACAAACCTCCACTTCTTCTTGCCGCTATTGGTCACGTGGACCAGGAAATGCTTGGAGGGGCTGGGAACGAGCTGTTGATTGAGAGTGAGAGAGCCAATGAGAAACCAGAGGAGTAGCGGCTCACCCAGAGTGCTCTGGGGCTGGGGGGGGCGGGAACTTCGCCGTCTATAAAATGGCGAAGGGTAGCCAAGCTACCTGCAGTTGGTAGGATCTGTGACTGGGCGAGGTTGTGAGCTTGCATGGGTTGTGGTGAAAAAGTAGGGGAAAGCTGGGAAGTGTTGGTATAAAGCTTTTTTCTTTCATTCTAAAGAAGAAGGCTGTGGGAAGGAAAAGCGGGAAAGTGTTGGCATAAAGACTTAAGAGGAAGACTTGTAGGAAAGGAGATTGGGGGGCAGAGTGGGACGGTGGTCTCTGAAAGCCGACCTCCTTGAATTTTCTTGGGTGGGTTTCTTCTCCTTGTGTAGTAAACCACAGTGTGTGAAGCAGCCTCTCTTCGCTGGCCTTCTTCATGTGACTTGCAGCGTCCTAACGCGCAAGCTGGCTTACTCTAAAGGCAGGAGTCCTTATCAGGGTCTGCTAGAATCCTGCTCCCCAACCCCCTGCTTTTTCTGCTTGCCCCTTTATGGGGGAAGCCCTCCTCACGGGCATTACATGATGGGGGAAAACGCCTAAAACTTTAACGGTAGCTAAAAATGAAGACTGGGAAAGCTATTCTTTCTCCTATAAGTGAACCTCATTTGGGAGTGGGTTGCTTAGGAACTAGGTGTGCCCCTGTGTGTTCTTGGAGTGGGGAGGCTAGCTCTACTAAAGTCCTTACATCTGTAAGCTTTCCTAGGCAATAGAGTTTCTAACCTGAAATTTCTTTTTTAAAACTAGGAAGATTTTGCCACTGATCTCAAAACAGTTATGTCAACTAAAATACCATCTTTATTCTAAATAGAAATCATGTTTCCCCTTAATTTTCAGTTCACCGCTTAAATTACTTATTACATATTGTTTACTTCAAGCCCAAAGTCAAGTAAATTTCCATGACTTAAGTCAAATTTCCAGAAGTACTGTTATTTTTGCTCCTGTTCAGTTTTATGTACTGACATTCAATTATTCTTACGTACTACAGAAGGCAATGTTTTCCAACTACATTCATAGCTAGGAATTATCACTAAAGATCTTTAACATTACTTTTTAGGAAAAAAATAAGCTCAAGCAAAATTAGAATGTATTCTAGTCTAAACCATAAGAAATTACCTTGAGTTGTCAATTCTGGATTGTTGAGCTGGAAATCAGGGTCAACTGCGCCTACCAAGATGACCTTCTTTGCAGCCTGCTTCTGGACACAGGAATCCAAGTACTAAGACAGTAGCAATAATTTAAAGTTCAATGGGACTCTAGCAGCGTTTCCTGGCAAGAATGGAATCCCTTGGATGGGACCATTGTTCCAGGACCCATATATTCTTCCTGTTAGAGACAATACCCAGTAAACAGGTCTGTGAGTCAAGATGCATACAGCGGCCGGGCGCGGTGGCTCACGTCTATAATCCCAGCACTCTGGGAAGCCAAGGCAGGTGGATCACGAGGTCAAGAGATCAAGACCATCCTGGTCAACGAGGTGAAACCCCATCTCTACTAAAAACACAAAAATTAGCTGGGCATGGTGGCGCGCGCCTGTAGTCCCAGCTACTCGGGAGGCTGAGACAGGAGAATTGCTTGAACCCAGAAGGCGGAGGTTGCGGTGAGCCGAGATCGTGCCATTGCATTCCAGTCTGGGTAACAACAGTGAAACTCCGTCTCAAAAAAAAAAAAAAAGATGCATACAGCATCTTGGAAGATGGCACCCATCTTTGCAGAGTGTTGCCTCTGAACCGGTAAGTCAGCTGTTTCTCCAGGAAGCAGTCCTGATGTTCTTTCAGGCTGATTACTTCTGGGTGGTGCATGTGTGATAGGGCCAGGTGACTCCTGGAGCTTTGTTGTGATGTCACCTCCTGGTCAGATGCTGTGTTGTGTGGGATCCATGCCTGTGAATCAGGCACTCCATGAGATCCCAGACAGTAATGCTGGCTGATAGACTTTGCAGGCAGAAAAGGTAAACCAACACCCAGAGAGTGTTATTCCAGCACGACCAAATTGCTTGCCCTTTGTGCTCCTTTGCTAGGGTTGTTGTAATCAAGTACCACAAACTGGATGGCTTAAACAGTAGATATTTATTTTCTCGCAGTTCTGGAAGCTAGAAGTTCAAGATCAAGGTGTGGGCAGGGTTGGTTTCCTGTGAGGACAGAGAGGGTAGGGTCTGTCCCAGGCCCTTCTTTGGTTTATAGATGACCATCTTCACATTCTTCCTGTATCTCACATCTTTGTCTCTTTGTGTGTGTCTCTGTGTCCCAATTTTCCTTGTTTATAAGAACACCAGTCTGGACGCATTGGCCCATGCCTGTAGTCCCAGCACTTGCAGAGCCTGAGGTAGGTGGATCACTGGAGCCCAGGAGTTCAAGAGACATGGCAAAACCCCATCTTTACAAAAATTAACCAGGCATGATGGTGCGCACCTGTAAACATGGCAAAACCCCATCTTTACAAAAATTAACCAGGCATGGTGGGGCGCACCTGTAGTCCTAGCTACTCAGGAGGCTGAGGTAGGAAGATTGCTTGAGCCCAGGAGCTGAAGGCTGCAGTGACCCGAGATTGTGCCGCTATACTCCAGCCTGGGCAACAGAGTGAGACCCTGTCCCCACTGACAAAAAAGAAAGAAAAACAGTGCCATTGCATTAGGGCCTGTTCTAATGACTTCATAATGACTTGATCAACTCTGTAAAGACCTTGTCTCCAAATAAGATCACATTCTGAGGTTCTAGGTGTTAGACTTCAACACATGAAATTAAGGGGCATAACCAAGGACCATGGACTAATGGAGAAGGCATCTGACTTTGAATTTGAAGGACACACAGTTCAACCCACAACACCCTTCTAGGACAAAAGGATCCCAATGTAGTTAACATGACATCAGCAGAAATGTTGGGTGCTGAGTGTATATACATATTTTAATTATATATATATATACTAAGTATATATACTATTCATATATATGAATTTATATATAATCATTTTTTATACATATATATAATTTTTTTGAAACAGAGTCTCAACTCTGTCCCCCAGGCTGGAGTGCAGTGGCACCATCTCGGCTCACTGCAACCTCTGCCTCCCAGGTTCAAGCAATTCTCCTGCCTCAGCCTCCCGAGTAGCTAGGATTACAGGTGTCCACCACTACACCCAGCTAATTTTTTGTATTTTTAGTAGAGATGAGATTTCACTATGTTGGCCAGGCTGGTCTGGAAATCCTGACCTTGTGATTCGCCTGCCTTGGCCTCCCAAAGTGCTTGGATTGCTGGTGTGAGCAACCACTCCTGGCCTAATTATATATTTTTATATAAAATTTATAATATATAAAAAATATATATAATACTTACAAGAAATACTCTGCGTTGTAGTCTGGTTACTTGGAAAGAGTATAATCCTCTTGAGACTTGCTTTTTAAGGTTTTTGAGATAATTCATTAAGGATTAATTTTTCCTCAATACTAGACAATACTTTCTGAATATTCCACCTTATGCCACCTGAATTGCACGATTTTGCACTCTGGCTGGAGGGAACACAAGCTCTTCCCAGCTTGTGTGATCTCTGCCTATCGCTCATTTTGGATGATTCCTTCCCCTGCTTCATGACCTCCCGCACATGCTGAAGCTGCACTGGCTGCTCTCTGAGATCCTTGGGGACCTCTCTCTACAAAGCCCTGTCCTCTTTAGTACTCCGAACTGAGGACTCCAGTTACCCTGGGCCTCTCTGGACTTCCGACTTTGCTTCCCCAGGTCAGGAGGATGGCTGGGCTCCATCTGCTTCCCTTCACTCCAGCAGCTGAGAGCACCATCCAGGCAGGGAGCAGGGGTAGGTATAGGGCTCACTCCATCTGTTTTCCTTCTTTCAGAGACTGATGCCCTTTTTTGCCTGCTAGCCAATGTTCTGAAAACTGTTGTTTCAGCTGGGTGTGGTTGCTCACACCTGTAATCCCAGCACTTTGGGAGGCCAAGGCAGGAGGATCACCTAAGGTCAGAAATTCAAGACCAGCCTGGCCAAGAAAATAAAATCCTGTCTCTACTAAAAATACAAAAATTAGCTGGGTGTGGTAGCAGGTGCCTGTAGTCCCAGCTACTTGGGAGGCTGAGGCAGGAGAATCTCTTGAACCCAGGAGGCGGAAGTTGCAGTGAGCCGAGATTGAACCATTGCACTCCATTCAGCCTTGGTGTCAGAGCAAGACTCCACCTCAAAAAAAAAAAAAAAAAAACAAACCACTGAAAAGATGTAGAACAAATGCTTAGATGTGCTATTAATCAAGAGGGATAATGTATATTTTGCATGATAGAATAAGAAAACAAAACACTATTGGATACAGGATCAGAAAAAAAAACAAAATCAACAAACAGAAAGTCTCAATAGGAGGGTAAAGCCAAATGAGAGGAAATCTTCTTTTTATCTAGACAAGATCTCACTATGTTGCCAGGCAGGAGTGCAGTAGCTATTCACAGGCTCCATCATAGCACACCGTGACCTCAAATGCCTGGCCCCAAGCCATCCCGTAGCTTTAACCTCCTGAATAGCTGGAACTACAGACATGGGCCTCCAACCCTGGTGTAAGATGACATCTTATAGGAAGAAGTAACATACTTTACTTTGGACCAAAACAAATAAACGAAACAAAACTACGTACACAGATATAACCAACACAAAAGACGTGGCTTTTACCAATCAAAATCATGAGTCAAGTGGCTGCCAAAAAAAGTGATTTCAAGCCTGGGCAACACAGTGAGACCCTTGCCTCTACAAATAAATTTAAAAATTAGTCTGGGCATGGTGGCTCATGCCTGTAATTTTCAGCACTTTGGGAGGCCGAGGTGGGCAGATCACGAGGTTAAGAGATCAAGACCATCCTGGTCAACATGGTGAAACCATATCTTTACTAGAAATACAAAAATTAGCTGGATGTGGTGGTATATGCCTGTAGTCCCAGCTACATGGGAGGCTGAGGCAGGAGAATCACTTGAAATCGGGAGGCAGAGGTTGCAGTGAGCCAAGATGGTGCCATTGCACTCCAGCCTGGGCGACAGAGTGAGACTCTGTCTCAAAAAAACAAAAACAAAAACAAAAGAATTAACCAGGAAGTTCAGGCATGGTGGCTCATGCCTGTAATCCCAGGACTTTGGGAAGCCGAGGTGGGTGGATCACCTGATTTCAGGAGTTGGAAACCAGCCTGGCCAACATGACAAAACCTCATCTCTACTAAAAATACAAAAATCAGCAGCTGGGTGTGGTGGCATGTGCCTGTCATCCCAGCTACTTGGGTGGCTGAGGCAGGAGAATTGCTTAAACCCGGGAGGAGAAGGTTGCAGTGAGCCAAGATGGCACCACTGCACTCCAGCCTGGGTGACAAGCGTGAAACTCCATCTCAAAAAAATAGCAGTGTTTTTCAAGTTTGTTTTACACAGCAAACTTTCTTCTAATGCAAACTTCTATAGAACATCAATGTGAAATATAGTCACGTGTGTCCCTGAGGTAACTGCAAGAAACTCCTAGCGCTCTGAGAAACAGCTTGAAAATCCTTGGCCTAAACCACAGAGCAAGTTCTATTCTCTTGTATCTTGAGATGAAATATTTTTATTTAGACAAGATCTCACTATGTTGCCAGGCAGGAGTGCGGTAGCTATTCACAGGCCACTATTTGAAGTGGTAATGTCAGTTCTGGTTACTACACTTTAAAGCATCTTTGAAAATCTTGGTCCTACAAAAGAATGATGCAAGGATTTGAAAATGTATCATATTAAAAATCAGTGAGGGAGATGTTTTCCTATGTTATGAAATACGTTCTTGAAATACATACTCAAAAAACCTGAACATATCTGGAAAAGAGACCAGGACTTATTCCGTGTCTCCAGAAGGCAAAATTAGAAAAAAGACATAGTGTGTGTTAGTTTGTTAGGGCTGCCATAACAAAGTAGTTCAAACTGGATGGCTTAAAAGAAATCAGAAATTTATTGTCTCACAGCTCTGGAGGCTGGAAGTCCATGATCAAGGTGTCAGCAGAACCATGTTCTCTTCCACAGCTCCAGGGAAGAACCTTGCCCTGCCCCTTCCAGCCTCTGATGTCCCCAGCAATCCCTGGCATTCGCTGGCTTGTCAATATATCACACATGACTACATGGGCTTCTCCCCTTTTGTGTCTGTGTGTCTGCATCTCTTCTTCAATTCTTAGGACACCAGTTATATTGGATTAAGGGCACACTCTACTTTGGTATGACCTCACCTCAACTAGTGACATCTGCAATGACTCTATTTCCAAATAGGGTCACAATTTGAGGTACCGGTAGTTAGGCCTGTAACACATCTTATTGGAGGACACAATTCAGTCTGTAATAGATAGTATGAAGGCAATCTGAAATATATAGTTTCTGAATATCACAGAAACGTGTCTTCAAAATGTGCTGTCAGGTGTCAGTGTGTGTGTGTGTGTGTGTGTGTATGTGTGTGTGTGAGAGAGAGAGAGACAGAGAGACAGAGAGATAGAGACATGGTCTCATTCTATCTCCAGGTTGGAGTGCAGTGGAACAATGCAACCTCCATCTCCCAGGCTGAAGCAATCTTTGTACCTTAGCTTCCCACATAGCTGGGACTACAGATGCACACCACCACACTCAGCTAATTTTTTTTTTTTTTTTGTAATTTTGTAGAGATGAAGTTTTGCCATGTTGCCCAGGCTGGTCTTGAACTCCTGGACTCAAGCAATCCACCTTCCTTGACCTTCCAAAGTATTGGGATTACAGGTGTGAGCCACCACACCTGGCCTGCAAGAAATAACTTTCTAATAATCAGATTTATTCAAAAGTGCAATGATTTCTGAGTTAGGTTAATCCCCATAAATGAAGGTGATCAGGGTGATTACTTCAAAGACATTCAGAAATAATTTATTCATTGATTAGGCTTTTGGACTAGAAAGTATTAAATTCCTGGCTGGTCACAATGGCTCACGCCTCTAATCCTAGCACTTTGGGAGGCTGAGGCAGTCGGATCCCTTGAGGTCAGGAGTTCAAGACCAGCCTTACCAACATGGTGAAACGCTGTCTCTACTAAAAGAAAAAGAATTAGATTCTGTCACTAACTAAGGTTGCATTTTCTAGAATTCTATATAAGTAAAGCCATATAGGATATATGCTTTTTTGCCTGGCTATATTCATTCAGTATAACCAAGATATATCAGGATACATCAACTTCATTACATGTATCAATAGTTTCTTCCTGTTTTATTGCTGAGTATTATTCCATTGTATGGAGATTTTGCTTATCTGTTCACCTATTGATGGACATTCAGGATGTTTCTAGTTTGGGCAGATTACATAAAACATAAATGTTTGATATAAACATTAGTGTACAAAGACTTTTGTGGACATATGCTTGTTTTTTTCTCTTGGGCAAATGGCTAGGTGTGAAATGGCTCATTTGTATACTAGGTATGTGCATAACTTTTAAAGAAACTGCCAAATTATTTTCCAAAGTGGTTGTACAATTCTAAATTCCCACCCGCAGCATAGGAGAGTTTCCATTGCTCCACGTCCTTGCCGAAACTTGGTATGGTCAATGCAGTGAGTGTGTAGTGGTATCTCATTGTTTTTATTTGTATTTTGCTAATGACTAAGAGTGTTGAGCAGCATTCCAGATGTTTGTTTGCCATTCCTGTGTTTTCTTTGGTTAAGTATCAGTTCAAGTAAAAAAAAAATTACCCATTACTTCATTGGGTTTTGTCATTGAATTTTAAGGGGTTTTCTTAAGTATAAATATATCATTTATCAGATATATCAATATAATTTGCAAATATATTCTGTCTTGTTTTTATAGTTTGTCTTTTGAAGAACCTGTTTTAAATTTTGATGAGTCCAACTCATTCTTTTAAAATTTGTGTCATAGTTAAGAAATCTTTGCCAAATCCAAGACATCAGATTTTCTTTCTTTCTTTCTTTTTTTTTTTTACTGTTTTGGTCACAATTTAGTAAAACTGGTCTACGATTCAGTTTGGGCTAATTTTGTACACAGTGTTAGGTAAAAATTTTTTTTAATATAGCTTTCCAAATGTTATTATTTATTTATTTTTTTTGAGACGGAGTTTTACTGTTGTTACCCAGACTGCAACCTCCGCCTTCTGGGTTCAAGCAATTCTCCTACCTCAGCCTCCCGAGTAGCTGGGACTACAGGCGTGCACCACCATGCCCAGCTAATTTTTGTATTTTTAGTAGAGATGGGTTTTCACCATGTTGACCAGGATGGTCTCGATCTCTTGACCTCGTGATCCACCCGCCTTGGCCTCCCAAAGTGCTAGGATTATAGGCGTGAGCCACTGCGCCCGGCCACTTTCCAAATGTTCTAATGCCTTTTGTTGTATGAACTATTGCTTCATAGAGAAGTGACTTGACATCTTTTTTTGAAAATCAGTTGGCAGGTATTTCTGGACTCTATTCTGTTCCATTATATCTATCTTTTTTTTGAGACAGTCTTGCTCTGTCGCCCAGGCTAGAGTGCAGTGGCACAATCTTGGCTCACTGCAACCTCCACTTCTTTGGTTCAAGCAATTTCCCTGCCTCAGCCTCCCAAGTAGCTGGGATTACAGGTACCCGCCACCACATCTGGCTAATTTCTTTGCATTTTTAATAGACACAGGGTTTCGCCATGTTGGCTAGACTGGTCTCGAACTCCTGATCTCAGGTGATCCGCCCACCTTGGCCTCCCAAAGTATTGGGACTACAGGCATGAGCCACCACGCCTGGTCATAAAATGGGTTTTTACAACTCAAATTCAACACTTCCACCACACTGTTCTTTCTCATACCCGAGCCATCGCAGTGTGTGCTTTATCTCAGATGCTCTCATCTTCACTGTCCCACCTTTACCTGACAAATACTCATCCTGCATTTCATCATGTCCCTTTAATTCTCTCTTGGATTCCCTGTGTTGATTGTTCCTGCCTTGATGGTCACCCAGCACTTCGTGATTACCCCAGGACACCAAGTGTCAAACTGTATTTCAATTACCTGTCTGCCTTTCCTGCCTGATCACAGTTCATTGAGACTCAGTAGGCATTCAATATTATTCAAGTGAGTATAAAGACAAACAAGATAGGTTCTCATTGAGAAGATCCCGTTATGCTAGGCAGATCAGCAAACCATGTCAGATCATGTCAAACTCCTCTAATGCTTTCTAGGTCTGTTTACATTGTTTCTGCTGGTTGCTTATCATGGTATTTTATTTCCTAGAATGTGATTAACTTTATGTCCTAGGAAGAAACTATCTTCCTCCAGAGAGGAAGATTTTCATTTGCTTCTGCATGTCACCTCCTGAGGACACTGCCAGTTAGGAACCACACCTTAATCCAAGTACAAGGCTTGACATTCCCTGAACCACCCTCAAGTGGATGCAAGTCTGAATCATGGCTGGTTTACTTAGCTGATCTTTACTATGAAGTAGACCTACTGGGTCTAGCTTTAAATTATTTCTTGGCTGGGTGGGATGGCGCACACCTGTAACCCCAGCACTTTGGGAGGCTGAGGTGATCATGAGGTCAAGAGATCAAGACTGTTCTTGCTAATACTGTGAAACCCCATCTCTACTTAAAAAAAAAAAAATCAGCTGGGCATGGTGGTACGCACCTGTAGTCGCAGCTACTCAGGAGGCTGAGGCAGGAAAACAGCTTGAACCTGGGAGGTGGAGGTTGCAGTGAGCTATCGCTCCACTGCACTCCAGCCTGGTGAGTGTGGGATGCTGGGGTAGTAGTTCAGGCTTCTTGTTTTAGGCATATCCTGGGCAAGTATCCTTGTGACACTACTGCCCATACAGTGGGTCAGTTTCATTACTATTTCTTCCCAATTGATAAATGCTCCGAGGACAAAAGCAACTCTTCGTTGCTGGGCTCATCTCTCCGCTAGTGGAAAGTGAAGGACCAAATTACTTAAATCTTACCCTGCTTCACAAGGACCTACATCATTCCAAATATCCTGCTCACCCTGAACCAGCCACGCAGTTCTTTGTGCTGATTTTCATGCAAGCTCCTCTCCTGTCCTAGCTTTTTGTACTTGGGAACTCTTAAACCCATCTACAAAGTTTACAATTTTCACACCATGACAGAGTATTTTTATGAAATGGAGTCTTGCTCTGTCACCCAGGCTGGAGTGCAGTGTGTGGTCTCAGCTCACTGCAACCTCTGCTTCCTGGGTTCATGTGATTCTAGTGCCTCAGCCTCCTGAATAGCTGGGATTACAGGTGCGCGCCACCACGCCTGGCCAATTTTTTGTATATTTAGTAGAGATGGGGTTTCTCCATGTTGGACAGGCTAGTCTCAACCTTCTGGCCTCAAGTGATCCGCCTGCCTCGGCCTCCCTAAGTGCTGGGATTACAGGTGTTAGCCACCAAGCCTGGTCCATGACAATATTCAAAGAAAATAAATCCACAGTGTGCACGTGCAGATTGGTTACACAGATGTATTGCATAAATGCTGAAGGTTTGGGCTGTATTGAACCACTCTCTCAAATAGTGAACACAATACCCAGTAGGTGGTTTTTCAAACCCTGGCACCCATCCCCCACTCCCTTTTGAAGTTCCCTGTGTCTATCTTTATGTATGACTACTTTTCGCAGACCTTTCTGTGATACTCAGAAACTATCTGCACCTCTTAAGGCTTGTCACATTTCATATGATATGCTTTTCTATTTATTACCTCCCATATTACATAGGCCCTTTGAAGATACATAACCTCATCTCCCACCCTTCTTGGCATAGGAAAGGTACACAATAATTATGTTTAATGTTGGTTTTTAATGTCTATGACTGTCAGGTTTACCTTTATGATTTTATGGTTGAGATGCATTTAGTTTAAAACAATTTGTGACAAGCAATTTGCCTTGGAAATAAAGATACAAGAAACACCTATAAAAAAGAAGCCAAAACCAATGAAGAATGATTAATGATTTATTTAAAAGTAACTTTCTCAAACTCTCTGGGATAGAAAGAGCAGGGTATTCTGCTGTAACATTTTACTCAGATGGTGGTTTCAGACTTGTTTCAAAATTGCTAGCACCTAAGTTTCTTTGAGAAAGCTAGGATAAAATACAAGTATAATCAAGTTAATTCAATACACAATTAAATGCCTATATGCTACAGGTACTGTATGCTAGGTACTGTGTGCTATGTGCTAGGGCCACAAACACAATTTCAACACTGTCCCTACTGTTAAAAAGTTCAGGATAGATGACTGGCAGGGGGTGGGGAGAGAAGAAAGGACAAAGATGACCACCTTTCAGCTACCTCTGAACTAGACATTTCATGTAGAAACACAGATCATGAACATTCTAGGAACAGGGAAGAACATTAGCAAAGGACAATGGAGGCTTACACTGCTACTGCTTATGAAACAAGGTTTGTGAGGCTGAAGAGCAGCCCAGGGACACCCAGGCTGGGCAGTGAAAGACCCTAACAGTAAGGAGACTGGAGAGAGGGTAGAAACCTCAGAGATGTTTTCAAGTTACACTCAGCAGGACTTGAAAAATGCAAGAGGAAGAGGACTTCTCATCAGTGTCACTGCTTGGTTAACTAGGTTGGATAGGTATGTCATAAAATTATAGCAGGATAAAAGAAACATTTTCATTGGGTTATGGAGACATAAAATTTTAATGTTGAATTGGCTATCTGCAAGATACAGCCATCTATATCAGGTACTTGCCTGATGAAACATATTCACCCACATGAAGTCCTTGAAGGCCAGGTACAGACATGAAAAGATACTTCCTTAGTTGATAAACCCTTTTTATTAAAATATTTCCATAATCCACTTAACTGTAAAGGGTATAGGGATTCCCACTTACATATTTCACGTTATCCAGGCAAACATTAAAAATAAACTAAAAAAATGGTTGAAAGGGGCCCCAAACAGGAGAGAGAACCACTGTGGCTTTGAGCTTTACTATCCAAGTACACAGAACTCTTAGCTGTCACTTGACCCTTCAATTCAGCTTATGTTTAATCTCGTTATATATTATGTTAGTGTGAAAATGAGTAAGAAATACAGGAAGGACATCAACAGAATCACTTATCCAGAGTAGCTAAAACTAGTGGAGAAGTCAAATCTTACCATGGGAGGTAGAAATTACTTTAAGGATGATAATAAAGGAAAAGGGCACTATCAAAGTACAGAGGAAGACGGATCATATATTTATCTAACCATCTACTAACATAGTTGTGTAGGACGGCAGGAACAGCTTGAGACACGATTGTTTTTATGGCAGAATGCCTGCCTCAATGACTAAGGTGCTCCTGAGGCAGGTAGATCCCCTGGAGAAAGGAAAACTTATAATTACCAGCAGAGCATATTTAATTGTCGGGAATAACAGATACTGAGATAGCCCCTTCTTGCGATTATTTCCTTTCTCTTCTTGCAGCTTCAAGAGTCACTCATTTAAGTCAATTAGTTGATCTGTTTGTATACTCCAGAAAGCATCCAGAAATTCTTTACAGTATGTCCATAATTAATTGTACAATTTGAAGTTCAGCAACATCAGACTCACGATAACTCTAAGCAAGTGCCTAGGTCTCCATTTCCATCTTCTCTGAAAACACTGTCTTTAATTGCGACTTATTAAAACACAAAGAAACACTAACCTATTTAACACATCATCATATTACACAAAGATGATGTGTTAAATAGGTGGTTTAAGTGACTTTCTTCATTCTGTTGCACTCATTTTGGAAATGGACATGCTCCTGTTTCCATAATCCTTTAAAATACAGTCTTTTGCAAAGAGAAACTACTGTACAAATAAAGTTTTACATCATAAACTAAAAAGAGGTCTGGTATCTATCCAATTTAGTATTCAAGTCTACAGAAAAAATTCAATGACAACTGCTTTATTATTTAAAGTTATGAAATTCCATAAAGCACACAAAGTAATCTGCATTCAACAGTCTGATACATGTATTTAAAAATATATAACAGATTTATCTGTTTTAACATTTATATTCTATTTAAAAAGTAGTGACTTTACATATTTTGCAACTTGAATTTATAAAATACATAAATCCACCTTATTCGAATCCTCAACCATGAGCTTTCATTCCTATTAACAAAATGCATAATCTGTAGTTCTGAATGATGAAACGAAAATGGTACCAACTAAAATGAACAAATTCATTTTGACCTGAACATGCATTTAGTTTTTGGCTACTAATCAACTCGATAATCCATTCAAATAATTATCTTACCTTGAGCCTGACCATCAGTTTGCCTTTACATAAGCCATCTGTGGTTAACTATGAAGAGATGCATTTTCATGGTATCTGACAAAATTTACCAAGTTCCTTATGGGAGATTTCAGGCTTCAAAAGAGGCAGGATAATTCAATCTTTCCACATACCAGAAAATCTGATAAGTGATGTCATTGTGAAATCATGCTTTTGCCTTTGAGAAAACTTAGAATTGTTGTAGGACCAATCTTTACTCAAAACCCAGAGAGTATTATGTGCCAAGAAACAGAACAAGAACTGGATCTCTCCTTTTCCCAGTCACTCATTCACCTTATAAAACCGGAGTTCTTGAGGTATGATAAGATAGATCAGCTCCTATTCAGCATTCCTTCCACATATGCAAAATACCCTGATATTTTAACAAACTTTTTTTCATTAAAAAAATAGTCATTTAATCATTCTGAAGACTCATCACAAAATACAAGTCACAATATTAACATGTGAAAATTAAAATTACAATTAACATCTCACCAGGATAATCAAACCCTAACTTCAACTTTCAGGACAAAGAGCTGTTTCAAGTACTTCTAGATTTTATGTGCCTCTAATGATAATAATGCAATAAACCTATCTTTAAATTAGCAAACAGACCAGACATGGTGGCTTGTACCTGTAATCCAAGCACTTTGGGAGGCTGAGGCAGGAGGAATGCTTGAGCCCGGGAATTCAAGATCAGCCTGGGCAACATGGTCAGATCTCGTGTCTTAAAAAAATGTATATATGTATGTCTCCAGGCATGCTGGCATACACCTGTAGACTCAGCTACTCAGGAGAGGCTGAGGCAGAAGGAGTGCTTCAGCCAAGAAGGTCAAGGGTGCAATGACTGTGCCACTGCACTCCAGCCTGGGCAAGACCCTGTCACATAAACAAAAACAACCCATACACAATTCATGTTGAGAAAGCAAGTCTCCCACAAATTATTTTAAAAAATAATTCCAGGCTGGGCACAGTGGCTCATGCCACTTGAGGTCAGGAGTTTGACACCAGCCTAGCTGACACTGTGAAGTGTCGTCTCTACTAAAAACACAAAAATTGGGTAGGGCACAGTGGCTCACACCTATAATCTCAGCACTTTGGGAGGTTGACGTGGGTGGATCACGAGGTCAGGAGTTCGAGACCAGCCTGGCCAACACGGTGAAACCCCGTCTCTACTAAAAATACAAAAAATTAGCCGGCATGGTGGTGTGCACCTGTAGTCCCAACTACTTGGGAAGCTGAAGCAAGATAATCACTTGAATCCAGCAGGCAAAGGCTGCAGAGTAAGCTGAGATCATGGCACTGCACTCCAGCCCAAGTCTGAGACTCTGTCTCAAAACAAAACAAAACCAAACCAAGTATTAGGTGTGGTGGCGCAAGCCTGTAATCCCAGCTACTTCGGGAGGCTGAGGCAGGAGAATCGCTTAGACCCAGGAGGTGGAGGTTAAAATGAGCCAAGATCATGCCACTGCTCCAACCTGAACAACAGAGCAAGACTCCATCTCAAAAAAACATAAAAAATAATAATAATTCCACATCTCAAAATGACTTAGAAATTTAAAGGGAAAAATAATTTGCAAGGGCAATAATTAGGCTTTGGGAGTCTTCATCCAAAAATAAAAATTTCTTTAATATTGTAATGAAGAACTAATTACAGCAAACAGCTCATTTACCAAGTAATTATTCAACAAATTTAGCCATCCATCTACTGATGAACTGAAATCAGTATCAGAAATTCCATGTGTTTTATTTGTACAAAGAAGAGCTTTTTTCCCCCACACCCCGAGACAGTTTCACTCTTGTTGCCCAGGCTGGAGTGTGGCGGGATCTCAGCTCACCATAAACTCCACCTCCTGGGTTCAAGCGATTCTCCTGCCTCAGCCTCCCAAGTAGCTGGGATTACAGACATGCACCACCATGCCCGGCTAATTTTGTATTTTTAGCAGAGATAGGGTTTCACCAAGTTGGTCAGGCTGGTCTCGAACTCCTGACATCAGGTGATCTGCCTACCTTGGCCTCCCAAAAGTGCTGGGATTACAGGCGTGAGCCACCACACCCCACTGGAGAGAGAGCCTTTTCAAATTTTTTAAAAATTTATGGCATAATTTTAATATCGTCTTTCTCTAGATTCCCTAACCTCAAAAAAAAAAAAAATTAGAAGTGAGAAAAGAAAACTGCTGAAGACTAATACATTGGACCTCTGTGGGAAGACAGAAAAATAGGAAGAAAAGAAGGGATTTTAAAAAATTTAAAAAGGACTAGGAAGAGGACTGTGGCCAGTTGGTGCAGATTAAAAGATACCTAATTCACAGACCTCAATCATGCACAGGCAGTAAGGGCATTACTATAACATAGAACAGTACAGTCGCCAATTCTGATAATGAATCCTCAGAAAAGAATAATATTGGTTAAGCATCAGTTCTTTTTGAAAAGCAATTTACATACACAGTTACACGTAATTGGACATTTTAAGCATTCAGCTAAGATATGTACAAAAAAATTAATGAAAGTGAGATCAAGAAATATAAGCAGCAGCAACCATAAAGGCATAGAAGAACTAGTGACACTGAATTCTTTATTTAAAAAAATTTTTGAACACACAGTACCTCCTCTTCTCTTCTGTTTTTAGGAAGAAGTTATAACAAGTTTAAAATATCTCAATTCTCAAAAACAATAGGCTTTTTAAAAATAAGACTTAATTACTAGAAACAGTATGTAGTCACATAACCATTTTCATATCACTACTCATTTCCATTATTTACCAATTCATCTTTGATGCAATTTGAAAACAATTAAGCAGTTACTAGACACCTGTTTTAGAATCTGAAGAAAGGATTATCCACCACAGGAATCTAATGATATATATATTTGCATACATTTAAAATTTCATAAGGGAAAAATTAATAAACTATTCTAGTTACTTTATACCAAATATTGATATTTCTAGTCAAAACAACAAGGATTCAGATCTTTCTCCAGGTGAACTGTTGACTATATAAAAGCTATTTCCAGCACTTTCTTCCGGGGATTAAAAATGCTTTATTTCCCTGCTGGCTAAAATGATAAATTACATATCACAAGTAAGTCTTTCAAAAATGAGTATTAATTCCTTAAGAGAGCAACCATAAAATGTATTTAAAAAAAATTATCTTAAAAGCTGAAAACAGTCCTTCTGCTTAAAATCTATGGCATTAATCCCTACTTGACCAAAAAAAGAAAAAAAAAAAGGGAAGGGCACCATGTTCATGATCTAAGCATGCATAAATAAGGAAGTGAATGTTATCACCGTCTTAATAGAATTTGGCAAACCAGAAAATGGACTAAAAATAAATAAATAAAAAAGAAAGAGTGTATATTATCTTCTAGGTATGAAAGTCTAATTCTGTAGGCCTATGTAGCAAATAGTGCCCACCAAGGGAATGCAGGGAGAAGGCAAGTAGCATATTCCTATACACATTCTCTTGATATTCTGGTTGTCGTTCAACAATACATTACAGAGAAATATTCTTTTTACTATTACAAATTGTTCATTTATTGCCCTCTGTAGAGCAATGACTCAGATAAATGCCTTATGACTTTCCATAATGTAACTTACATATAAATTAAATCTAAGTGCAAGGAGTTTTCAATGATTCCTAAATTCAAGAGAGTGCTGTTAATCTGACTATGAATTTTGAATGTTTGTATTCCTATATTTTAGAATATTTCATCTTATTTTCTTCTCTTTAAACTGTAAGATGACTGAAATTATCTCATTTTCCTCTACTTTCCTGTTTCATTTTAGTTTACGGTATTTATATGTAGAGAGAGAGGTATGTTAAAATATTGTTATAAAAACTCAATTGAGGCTATATATGACCTATTACTCTATAGTATAGCATTGTTAATCTTTGACCCAGTATATTAATTCCTTTGGTGAATAAATGTCACCAGTCATTTCTTTATAAAAGCATTTTAGTAAGAGGACTAGCAATATGGAGAAGAATTTCTCCCTCACTCCCAGAAAAAGATCAAGTCAAACAGTAGTGTAGAGCAGTTATGTAAAATATGAAAATACATAATTTACCACTGCAATTTTCATATTAAAAGCAGTTTAAAACTATGAGGAATTCAAAGACTTTCTATCTTGGTTAAACCGGCCAACCAATAAAACTGACAGAGATCACTGTGAGAATTTACATATATATATACACACATATATATATATAGAATCTCTAGTCAAGACAGAACAAAACTGTATAATTTTTTAAAAGTGGTCATTGTTAACTAGCAGTATATAAACAGTGTTCACAATTTGGTGGCTGGCCACGGCTTTAATTTTTTTTCACGTTATTTCTATAGCAGACATATTTTTGAAGTCTACCCACACCCCTGAGTTCAGTAATTATACTTTTAGAGTGTAAAATTATATGCCCTTAATTAACAACATGTACAAAGCTACAAAATGTCATCTATACAGATTAAAAACAATTTTAAAATATTATTTACCAATTATTGATTGAATGGTTTTACTGGGTTACATATTTCAAACCTTTCAGCCAACTGGCTTTTAGTTTTAAGCCCAAATTGATTCATATATTCACTGCAGGATATTTCAAAAAGAGTGCAACAATAAGGCATTAGTAAAAATAACATTGCAGTAGAAACAGATTTTGCATATGTGAAAAGGTAATTTATAAAATACATTAATCACTTTTTTTTAAAAAGAACTTAGTTGTAGTATCATTAACTCACATGGTACTGAGAATTGGACCTTTCAACAATTTTTTTTTTTCTATAGAAAATTTTATCTTGCTGTAAGCAAAGTCTTTTCAACAACAACAAAACAAAACCCTCCAGGAAAAACTATATGGCTGTGAGACAAATAAGCAACATACCATTTGATAGTGATTTTTGCCTAAATTTTAAAATAAAAATGTCCACACTCTTTAGTTAAAACATTAAGCCTCTGTCAAAAATGTATTTCTTATTTTAGGGTACAGGATTAAAGGACAAGATGATACTTACAAGTAAAGAAAATTTACAAGAAAAAACTTAACAAATGTTTTTCAATAAAAGTATTATAACATTCAAACTTGACTTATAACAAAAGAAACAAGATTGCAAACAAAAATGTTTACGGGTTTTCCAAACATAAATAAATGAAATAGTGTTTAGGCAGTAGGGCTCATGCTGATGGCTAGCAGGAAGTTAACAGACTATAGTCTACTTGAAAAAAATCTTTAATGTACAAATAAGCCCAAATTATGGACTGCAGCAATTTAATCATCACTGCCATTTTTCTTGCTTCCAAAATAAAGCCTTGATTAAACCATTCATACCCTATATTACTCATACCTTTACTTCAGAGATTGAGGAACTATATACAACAAATGAATTTATTTTCACCATAGGGATAACATACTGTACCTCTCTGCCAATGTTACTTGAAAATCTTCCATGTCAAAACAAATTGACAGCAGATATAAACAATTAAATAAATACGCAATGATCTTTCATTACAGTCCTCTAAAGACGCATGTTAATTCATGCTGTTAATCTTAGGATCACAGTGCATAGAATCCAAATATAAACAGTTGGGGTAACTTTTAAAGTAATGTTGGATCCCTCACTTTATTTATATTCCCACTATAACTGATAAGTTCATTTCATAGGCCCTATCATGCATTAATCATTGAGTGGCAGGAGTTAATGAAACCTTTTCCTGTTACAACGTCCATTGCCGGCAATGAACGTACCAAAACTGCCAAGGAAGTCATTGTTATTGCACAATACATGAGGACCTGGAGCTTTTCCAAAAGCTTAAAAAAATAAAAATAAAAAATGGAATTATATTTGACGTTTCCTGACACCTGCATTAATACTGTATGACTAATAAAAGCATGTCAGTTGCTTGGACTGAACCAGCGATCAACATGCGCCCAGAATGCACACGAGTAAAAATGCAGTAAAAGGAAGAAGTCTTCATTGCCTATAGGTCACTTCCAGTCAAAGGTTAAAGTTCAAAGACTGAATGATCAAAGTGCTCATTTTCTCAGTAGGACTATCTTCTGCTAGGAGGATGGTAACAGTGGCATCAACAAGTATCATCTTTAAGAAAAGGAGAAAAAAGATAATTAAAAAGTCAAGTATGTTTAAGTAAATTCTACAAGTTTGTTTAATGTAGAAATAACTTCAATTAGCAAGAAGTACATAGTTTAAATGTCTGATTTGCCTCCCCAAAACCTGTGAATATAACATGCAATATGCTTTCAATTATACAGTGACAAACAAATTAGTTCTTTCAGGGAAATAGTAGTTCACACAAACCTTAAAAAGATAGGTTATTAATACATTCTATTTAAAATTATAAACTGATATGTTACCACATATTCAGGATGTATCAATCTTAAGAGAATTGTTTTATGAGCAATAAGTTAACACTGCAATAAGATAGGAAGTAAACTCCTAACCAACAGTGCCATGCTACTGAACACAGAATAATATATGATATGTCTTTTTTTTTTTTTTTGAGACGGAGTTTTGCTCTTGTTACCCAGGCTGGAGTGCAATGGCACAATCTCAGCTCACTGCAACCTCCACCTCCTGGGTTCAGGCAATTCTCCTGCCTCAGCCTCCCGAGTAGCTGGGACTACAGGCGTGCGCCACCACGCCCAGCTAATTTTTTGTATTTTTAGTAGAGACGGGGTTTCACCATGTTGACCAGGATGGTCTCGATCTCTTGACCTCGTGATCCACCCGCCTTGGCCTCCCAAAGTGCTGGGATTACAGGCTTGAGCCACTGCGCCCGGCTACATGATATGTCTTTAGACATGAAGTAACCATTTCTTCAATGAGATACAATCTCCAAATCAATAAATTGTTGAGATTAATTTCCCTTTAGAAAATAAGCTTTCAGGCTGGGCATGGTGGCTTACCTCTGTAATCTCAGCATTTTGGGAGGCAGAAGTGGTGGATTACTTGAGGTCAGGATTTTGAGACCAGCCTGGCCAAAATGGTAAAACCCTCGCTCTACTAAAACTATAAAAATTAGCCAGGCATGGTGGCACAAACTGGTAGTCCCAGCTACTCAGAAGGCTGAGGCAAGGGAATACCTTGAACTCAGGAGGCAGAGGTTGCAGTGAAAGAAAATAAGCTTTCAGCAAGTATAGATACATATGCAAATAGGGTCATTAAAAAAACTCATAAAATTATTTAACAATAACTTCTGATAGCCTCAGCACATACTTATGTAACATAGACAACTTTAGGATTATTTATTTTACAAAACATATCTGAAGGATTTATTCTGAGGATGAGTTATTCTTCAGAAGAAAGCAACATAAACTAGGCTGGGCGCGGTAGCTCACACCTGTAGTCCCAGCACTTTGGGAGGCGGGCGGATCATGAGGTCAGGAGATAGAGACCATCCTGGCTAACACAGCTAACTCATCTCTACTAAAAATACAAAAACTTAGCCGGGTGTGGGGCTCACACCTACAGTTCCAGAGGCTGAGGCAGGAGAATTGCTTGAACCTGGGAGGCAAAGGTTGCAATGAGTCAAGTGCATGCCATTGCACTCCGGACTGGGCAACGAGAGTAAAACGCCATCCCCAAGAAAAAAAAACAAAAAGAAAGAAAAAAAAGAAATGAAACTGGTGGCCAAGAGTTGTGAAAGTAGTCAAGAAAAAAAATTCTGAAAATCCTAGCCAAAATATTTTACAAATTGTCTGATATGGTTTGGATAACTCCCCCTTCAAATCTCATGTTGAAATGTGTGATACCCCATGTTGGAGAAGGGCCTACTGGAAAGGTGTTTGGGTCACTGGGGCAGATCCCTCAGGAACGGTTTGGTGCCCTCCTTGCAGTCATGAGTTCACATGAGATCTGGTTGTTAAAGAGTCTGGGACCTCCTTCCTCTGTGTCTTGCTCCCTTCTCTTGCCATGTGACTTGCCTGCTCCCCCTTCACCTTCAGCCATTAGTAAAAGCGTCCTGAGGCCTCACCAGAAGCAGATGCTGGCACTATGCTTCTATACAGTCTGCCTAACTGTGAGCCAAATAAACTTTTCTTCTAAGTTAGTCTTAGGTATTTTAGAGCAACACAAAACAGATTAATACACTATCTCATGTTAGAATTGATATACTGCTAATTAAAAAATCAGTAAAATCTGACTTCTAAGCTCAGCAAACTCTAGAATATTCCATGATCCAGTAATTTCAAGGGGGAAACAGACTGGAGTTTAAAAATAATCATCCCTAATTCATTTGAGGCTTTTAAATAAGTAAGAATACTATCTTTAAGAAAGCAAGTAGATAGTTTACATTCTTCCTCTAGGTTCACTCAAAATTTTCTTGGCAATGCACAATGGCTCACGCCTACAATTCCAGCATTTTTGGAGGCGGAGGTAGATGGACTACTTGAGCCCAGGAGCTCAAGATCAGCCGAGGCAATATGGCAAAATCTTGCCTCTACAAAAAATACAAAAATTAGCCTGGTATGGTAGTGTGTGCCTGTAGTCTCAGCTACTTGGGAGGCTGAGGCAGGAGGATCACTTGAGTTTCAGTGGTTGAGGCTGCAGAGAGCTGTGATCCCTAGGCAACACTGTCTCAAAAAAAAGTGATGTTCCGGCCTGGCATGGTGGCTCATGCCTATAATCCCAGCACTTTGGAAGGCCGAGGCAGGTGGATCATAAGGTCAGGAGTTAAAGATGAGCCTGGCCAAGAAAGTGAAACCGCGTCTCTACTAAAAATACAAAAATTAGCCAGGCACAGTGGTACATGCCTGTAATCTCAGCTACTCAGGACGGTGAGGTAGGGAATTGCTTGAACCTGGGAGGTGGAGGTTGCAGTGGGCCAAGATCATGCCACTGCACACCAGCCTGGGCAACAAGAATGAAAATTTCATCTCAAAAGAAAAGAAAAGAAAAGAAAAAAAAAAGAATAGTATATTTAACCTCTTGGCTACAGTATCTGTGACAAGATAATGGCTTAAAGAAAAATCTAATATTAATCATTTATATCTTTCCTGGAACTACAGAAGCCTCTACTAAAATTACAGTTTCAAACATAACATGAACTATCATATTCAAAGTGGTAACACCCACCATAGCTAACTTCACTGGGCTTCTGGGAAATGTAAATGAGAGAGAACTGTATCAGAAGGAGGTCATTTAGTTTTCTCCTGAGAATAAAAACTATCAAACAGTTTCCAACTATCATGGAAACCCATCTCCTTGGATATCCCCAGGGACAAAGGACTAGGAAAAAAAAAAAGGAACACAGTAATATAGGTCAGTAGATATGAAGTAGATGCTACCCCCAAGAAAGAAAAGAGATTTATAGTTTTGCTCTCAACAATTTAGGGCATTAACATTTTCCTTTAATGAACCAATTCAAGAAATATTTCAAAGTAGACAGACAACAGACTTATTAACCAGCAGCAAACAGAAGGCACAAACAGAGTATAAGTCTAGAGTCAGGAATTTAGTAAATGGTTTTGTAACTCTAAAAGATAGTACAGATAAAGTTCACAACACAGGTAAATCTATGGACAGCAACTATATAGCAAGAAAAAAAGGAGTTTGATACTGCTAGTCTGAGAAAATTTTATGCTCCTGCCCTCTTGCAATCTTTGTATTTCTATAGAAATGTTCCAGCTGAACAGAATCAGAATGTAGTCCATGGTTTTTAAAAAATGATATTCCTCTACATCTCCCCCAAATTACGGAGTCATTTTGTTGGACACACTCTCTAAACATTATGCCAATTCATTTCCTATAAGCCTAGGTCTCTGAAGCCAGTCTTCAACAGCAGCCTTAAGTTACACATCCCTAATCTAGTATCTGACACTTTTTAAGCGTTAACATGACACCTAAACTGGAAAATTCCAGGCCTGACCTCGTGTGACAGGTCACAGTTAAAATGTTGTTTCATGCAAAAAATTACTTAAAATGCTGTATAGGTCCGGTGCAGTGGCTCATGTCTGCAATCCCAGCACTTTGGGAGGCTGAGGTGGGCAGATTGATTGAGTCCAGGAATTTGAGACCAATCTGGGCAACATGGTGAAATCCCATCTATATCCCTCCGAAAAGATAAAAAGATTAGCTGGAAATGGTGGTATATTGTCTGTAGTCCCAGTTACGAGACAATGAGGTGGGAGGATCACCTGAGCCCAGGAGGTTGAGGCGGCAGTGACTATGATCGCACCACTGCACTCCAGCCTGAGTGACAGACTGCGATTCTGTCTCAAAAAATAAATGAAGTTTTGTGTAAAATTACCCTCAGATCATGTCTTTAAGGTATATGGAAACATACATAAATTTCATGTTTAGATTTGGCTCCCATCCCCAAGATAGCCCATTATGCACATGCAAATATTCAAACAAAATAAAACAAAACAAACTGAAATCCAAAACACTTCTGGTTCTAACCACTTCAAATATTCAACCTATAGTTTAAAACCAACCATTCAATTTTCTAAAACTTTAAAAAGAAGAGTTCCAGCCACAGATCTGTTCTCCTCTCTGTGGGAAGCAAATCAGTTATGAATTTAAGTTGTATATGCCCGAGACTGACCTCAGAAAACAAATAGATCAATATAAATAATGGATTTTAGTTACTACCTCATTGAAATTATTTTTATGGTCTCACAAAGAGACATACTTTCTAACTTCCTCAAAAACAATGATTGTGTCTGTGTTATGATATAGAACTTTGAGGTCTCATTCATTTATTTGTGCATGGAACTGTATGCAGATCTGTTTTCTAAGGAAAATTCTAGCCCTGAATCATAAGAAAACTCTTCAGTCCATCTACATGCTGAGGTGAGCTGTCTACTTCGAATACCTATTTTGGTTAGGCTTCTTTATTTCTTGAACCCTATTCTACCTGCTCAATTGATTATTCAAAGCCTAAGAATCCCCTCCACTCCCCTACAGCCTTAACTGGTAATGAATATATTTGCATTTCAAAGCAGGTGTGACTTCAATTCATTAATGAATAGAAATGATAAAAGAATTCTGGAAAACAAGTTGATAGTCAACTTCAAGTAACAAAGAAATGTGCAGTCACTATCAAGACAACTTTTTATTTAATGTATCCAAAGACCTCT